GGGAATTCTATGGTCTAAAATTTCCCCCCGATCGCTTACTTTTTCATAACTCCATAGTGACTCATTCGCTGACTCTCTGGTCCAAATACAAATCTAAATTGAATCTAGTCTCTCTTACCCCCCCAGGTGTTTCATTTTTTTGGTGACCCCACTTTTGTTGTAGCTTTCGCGCCCACCCCCCTTCTTCCCCTCAACAGTTTCGTTGGTGGTATGATCGATCCTTTATCAGATTATCGGATTTTCAAAGAGGAGGATCGTATATTACCTTTGATATGCTACGTGTGTTGTTTGATGTTCCTCTTCGCGAGTACCTTCGCTACCGACAGATTAGACATTTTTTTAATTCACACTTTGGCCTTATGCCATCTTCCCCGATTTCTTTTTTTGAACGTATCAGCCGTGACTCTCTAGGGGTAGGGGTCTTATCTCAGATCTTTATCACCAATTTTTGATCTGCCTTTTTCATACACCCCCCTCTTATCGACAAAAAATGGGAGGAGGATTGTGGTATCACTTTTTCAGAGGAGGATTGGGATTCCATGGTGGATAATATATGCAAGAGTTCTAGATCTCTTTCAGTTCGTGAGACAGCCCTTAAGGTTTTAACCAGATGGTATTACACCCCATCGAGACTACATGTATTGTTCCCACAAACGTCCCCTTTATGTTTCCGGGGCTGTGGCCTCACAGGTACTTTGGTTCATATATTCTGGGATTGCCCGACCATATCTTTGATTTGGTGTAAGATATCTGAGGTGGCTACCTCACTGTCGGGTACCCCGATACGATTGTCCATACAGACCTGTTTATTGGGGGCCAATATCCCAGGGTCTCTGATGCCAATCTGAGATTGATACATACATTATGTATTGCCACCTTATGGTCTATTGCCTTACACTGGAGGTCCAATGCTGTACCCTTGGACTCCGTTTTACACAGAATTGATACTGTAATGCTCATGGACCGCATTCATTATACCCTACTGGATAAGATGCACTTATATGATAAAAAATGGGAGTCATGGAGAGATTGTAGACACTTATTGCATGTTTAACAATATTCTCAGTAAAAGTTGCCTGACATGTACTGTTGACGGATGTATCTTTAACTTATCTTATTGTTCACGTATTTCATGCACTCGTAATTTACTCTTTTCCTTTTTTTTTTTTTTTTTTTCTCTCTTTCTTATGTTAATATACTTTTCTGTATTGTACATTTCAAAAGTGCCTTGTTTCGTTGAAAATAACACTTGAAAGTGTGCTGTTGTTTTACAGTCTACTTATATTCAATAAAATCGTTTGTAAACAAAAAAAAAAGAATTTATTTTTTTACTACAAATTTTTGGAAAATGACAATTTTTTTTTTTTTTTTACACAAAATTGTCACTTAAAATTATTTATTGCTCACACATGCCATGGGTATATGTGGAATTACTCCCCAAAATGCATTCTGCTACTTCTCCCGAGTATGGGGATACCACATTTGAGAGACGTTTTGGCAGTCTAGCCAAGTACAGGACCCCAAAATCCAATAAGCACCATCAGGCTTTTAAAGGGCTTTATTTCCTCATTACACTTTTTGACTACCTATTACAGTTTTGGAGGCCCTGAAATGCCAGATAGCACCAAACCCCCCCAAATGACCACTTTTTGGAAAGTAGACCGCCAAGGAATTTGATCAGAAGCTTGGTGAGTATTTTTTCAGATCTCATTGAAGAAAAAAAACCAAAAACACATTTTTCATTTCTTTTTTTTACATTTCAAAACCTTGTGAGAAAAAAATGAGATCTGCAAAATACTTATCATGCCTCTTTTTAAATTCCTTGGGGTGTCTACTTTCTAAAAAGGGGTAATTTGGGGGGTTTGGTGCTATCCTAGCATTTCAGGGCCTCCGAAACTGTGATAGGTAGTGAGGAAGTGAAATGAGGAAGTTACGCACCTTCAGGCTTTCAAAGTGGCCATTGGATTTCAGGCTCCTGTATGTGGCTAGGCTCCCAAAAATCTCACACATGTGGTATCCCTATACTCGATAGAAGTAGCAGAATGTATTTTGGGGTGTAATTCCACATATACCCATGGCTTGTGTGAGAAATATATAATTTAAATGACAACTTTGTGTAAAAAAGAAAACAAAATTGGTTTGTTTTGGTCATTTTCCAGAAACTTGTGGAAAAAAAAAATCTTCCATGGACTCAATATGCTTCTCAGCAGATAGCTTAGGGTGTCTACTTTCCGAAAAGGGGTCTTTTGGGGGTGTTTGTACTGTCCTGGTATTTCAGCACCTCAAGAAATGCGATGAGCAGTCAGAAAGGAAAAGCTGTGTAAATTCCATTATCTATACCATAGTTTGTAGACGCTATAACTTTCACACAAAGCAATCAATATACACTTTTTGGGATTTTTATAACCAAAAACATGTAGCAGAATACATTTTGGCCTAAATCTATGACGAAATTTTAGTTTTTTTGGTTATTTTTTATGACAGAAATGAGAAAATATTTTTTTTCAAAAACATTTTTTTTCTCAAAATTTCTTTTGTTTATAGTGCCAAAAATAAAAAGCGCACAGGTGATAAAATACCACCAAATTAAAGCTCTATTTGTGAGAAAAAATGGACAAATTTCATTTATGTACCGTATTGCATGACCGCGCAATTGTCAGTTAAACTAGTGCAGTGCTATATAGGAAAAAAATGGCGTAAACTGTAATATCTAATATCTATACTATAGTTTGTAGACGCTATAATTTTCACACAAAGCAATCAATATACACTTATTGGGGTTTTTTTTCTACCACAAACATGTAGCAGAATACATTTTGGCCTAAATTTATAACTAACTTTGAGCTTACTATATATTTTTTATAGCTGAAAGTAAAAAATATATTTATTCAAAAATGTTTGTTTTTTTGTTTATAGCGCAAAATATAAAAAGTGCACAGGTGATCAAATACCACCGAAAGAAAGCACCATTTGTGTGAAAAAAAAGGACGTAAATTTTGTTTGGGTGCAGCATTGCATGACCGCGGAATTATCAGTTGAATTAGTGCAGCGCCAAGTAGCAAAAAGAGGCTCGGTCATTAAGGGGGGGGTAAAATCCTCAGGAGGGCAAGTGGTTAAAGCTAATTTTAGACCACAAAAAAGCAATTACCCATGTTTTTGGTAAACTATAAAAGATGAGGCAGCACCAACTAAATAGATACCTAACATGCCAAGATTTAAATTTATGCATAGCCAGGAAATGACAATGAAATTTGGTACTAGGTTTATCATAGGTGATGCTTTAAAGAGCTCTACAGATAATCAGTTTAGAGTTAACCACGAATAGTGGACCTAAAATGATTGCTCTCACATATGCATAGCAATATGTAAGTGTATAGCAATCAACATTTTTGTGTGTGTTTATATTTATGTGTGCGTGCACGTAGGGGTGGGGAGGGCTCAAATGTTTTTGGTTTGGGTGTAACTTAATTTTTTTTTTTTTAACCTTTACTAAAACTTAATTTTGTCATTATTAGTAATATATTTTTACATACTAAACTTAGAGATGTTGGTTGCAACAGAAAGCAAGAAGAATTCTTTCAAACTCTGTTGGTTAAGGAGACTATATATTTTAGGGCATTATTACGGCTTCTATGAATGAAACCTGCGGCTTCTATGAATGGAGGGGGCAAACCTACCACATTGTCTGCCTGTCCTCCATTCATAGATCCTGTTTCATTTACAAAAGCTGAAGTATCAGCTTTTATGAATGGAGCAGCTGGGCAAAAAGCTATCAGAGGAGAAAGATTGCTGTGAAAGGAGAACACAACAGCACAAGGGAAACAGCTCACTGAAAGTGTAATATCTATTAAAACACAGGTTTTCAGTGTCCATCTTTGTGTGAGCCTGGCCAAAATAAAAAATAAAAGTCATATGGGACCATTATTAGCAAAAATAGATTTACTACCATTAGTGCAGCTGTTTTTTATATTGGACAATAACTGAATTCATGTGTGTTTTTCCTTTTTTTTTTTTTAAATTGTTAACTGTAACCCTTTTTCTTCTACTGCCGTATGTAATATGGAGGTGGCAGCAGGGTTCTTTTTTTGTTTACATACATTTCTGGCAGCTGTACACTCCACAAGCTTGCTGTTGGCTTTCTAATGGCTGCTTTCCGTGACTCCAGGAGTGTTCCTCACCCCCCCACTGCCATGCTTCTGGTGCTCTGCTGTCCCACATGAACGCCTGAGACCCGCACGGCAGGTGTCACTGTTTGAGGGGAGTGAGACCAGCAAGCATCCGTTCGCTGATCTTCCCTAGCTAGAATGAACCCAGAAGATATATGTAAAACGTCTTCGAATAGTGATCTAAAATACCCCTAGTGTCTCATTAAAGAGAACCGGTCTTAAAAATGTTACATCCCATAGGGCAGTGGTTCTCAACCTGTGGGTCGTGACCCCTTTGGGGGTCGAATGACCCTTTCACAGGGGTCGCCTAAGACCATCGGAAAACACATATTTCCGATGTGTAAAGAGCACTGCTGTGTAGAAACAGCCGCTCTGTAGAAAGCAGATGTGTAGAAAGCAGCCCGCTGTGTAGAAAGCAGCCACTGTGTAGAAAAAGCAGCCACTGTGTAGAAAGCAGCCACTGTGTAGAAAGCAGCTACTGTGTTGAAAGCAGCTACTGTGTTGAAAGCAGCTACTGTGTTGAAAGCAGCAGTATTGGAGGTAGGACGACACATCATGAATTATAATTACTGGGTAAATAATTTTATGGTTGGGGGGTCACCACAACATGAGGAACTGTATAAAAGGGTCGCGACATTAGGAAGGTTGAGAACCACTGCCATAGGGGATATAACAGTAACATGTTACACCCTGAATAATGTTCCACCAAAACATAAATGCACAGTGACAGATGACAGCAAATAAGATCCAAAAATTAAAATTTCTGCCACAAGCTGATGTTTATATTTTTTAGCAAGAATACAGGATCATCAACAGCAAATGGTACAAACTTACTTTCAAATTTATTCCCCGAATGCTTGGCTTCATTCATCCGAGTTGTCAATTTGTTCATATGGGGCATATGATTATTAAGTTTGGCAGCTTCTTTCTGGCCTTTGACTATTAGTGGAAAAATCATAATTCGTGCAAGTATTGTTCCTGTAGGAGATAAATATTTTAAAAATATAAAAGAAACCATTCCCATGTAACTGTTAGGGGAATATAATAAAGGTCTTACCTGTCACAATAGCTCCCCACCAGGGGACACCAATATCCATATGTAAAAATGCTAGGAAGTTTTGTACAAGGCCAACTGGACTGTAACCTCCAAGTCCTAATTCAGTCAAACTCTGTTCAACCTGACCAATTGTCTCTACAACTGTGGGGGCAAATTCTGAGACCGGGGGAGGCAGCACATCCTCAGGGATAGAAGCGGAAAGTGATAATGGTGCCTCTGGGAAAGGTGGAGCACTTGGAACCTAGAACAACAAAGTAGCAATGGGCATGGGCAAAGTATTAACAGGCAACAGGTTGAATACTTTATAACAACACAGAATAAAATAAGTATTCTAAACATCAAGTGTAAACATCTGTAGGTTTAGCTTTCATTTGTACGGGCGACTAGCCTTGATGCTAACGACAGTGGCAGGATTCACTCTTTGTGCGCCCAGCAGCAACCACTGCAGGTAATTGCTGACTTTGTGAACAGCCATGAATAGCTGCAGCCACTGTCAACCTGTTATTAAAGTGTACAGGGCTCTGCAGCTTGCACTGGCAAGGCGACAGCGACTCTAACATACCTTCACATAATCTCAGCAACCATGCACAAAGTTTTGCTGGAAGACACTTGTTTCACTGTGAGCATAAATACCAGCTGCTCATATACCTAGGTCAGTGTTTCTCAACCTTTTTTCAGTCAAGGTACCCTTTAAAATTCTGCACAATCTCGAGGCATGCCTTTCTAAAATGTAAAAAACTATTCTGATAGCTTTACATAATGCAGCAATATCAACACTCATAGTACATCCAACGCTATGATGATTTATTCTTCCAAAGCAAATATACCTTTGCACACTAGTACTGACTTAGTATTCCAGTGTTTCTCTTCTTCACTTGGCTAATATGACCCCAGTTGTAACAGAGAGGGGCAGGGGAGGTGCAAATAAGGATGCTGTGCAGGCATTAAACATCCTCCTTATCAACTGATGAGGTCATTGATTGTTAGGATGCCAGCAGCTAGAAGGTCGTTAAGGTGCACAATGAAAACCTGTGGCTTCGTGTACTAAAAAGGTAGGCTTGATACACCTGCTGACTGGCTTTTTGGGCAATATTTATGCATTTTGTCAAGGCATCTCTGAAGAAGCCTGAAGGCACCCTGTTTGAAAAAGGCTGACCTAGATGATATAACTTTTTCACAAATTTCTCAGAACACCTGGATGATATATTTTTCACTATGGACACCATAAAAAGCTCACCTGATTGGCAACTGCAGTCACTGTACTCTGGCAGCGAACATTTAAGGCCAGAAACTGGCGCGTCCCTGGGGCAAAAGCCCTGTGGAAATGGAATGAACCTAGACATCTGTGATACTAAAAGAAAACAAAAATTAGGTTGAATGTATATTTTTCCAATACAGTATATGTCATCATTTATTTCGGAAGTGCTTAATGAAGACCTTTAAGACAAATTGGATATTAAAATGTCCCCAAACACACTGACAATATTTATTCATACATCTAGCACAACAAATGCTGTTGCCCTAAAGACATTCACATTAAAATTCCCTGACATTTCAACTTACATCATTGTCTTTAGAGGTCACCCCTAAGATCCTATATCAAGGGAATGTATAGGCTGCCAATGCTGGCTGTCAACCTGATTTAACAGCTTCAATCATTTTTACTCAACACCATAAGATTTAATGCCTATGGGGGAAATTAACAAGGATCCTGCATGTTTATAATTCACATAACTGCAGAATTTCAGGCTATTTTATGAATATACAGTACTATTCCTAAACTAAATTTGTGTTATGTGCCACATTAATTGGCATATAGACCTCCATGTCTCACCACCTATGCCTGATTCTACTATAAAAATGAAAAACAGAAACTGATTTCTGCTCCTACTTGTCAAATGGATTTCAGAAGTTTTAATAGAAAACTGCCATAGATCCCTGCCAGATTGGACCTGGCATACTGTCAGCAGACAGCTCACATGACTGCATACTGCCAGGACCAGCAGAGCCTGCAGGGTTAACAACTCTACTCTCTCTTTCTTCCTTTAGACCCGGTCGCACTGGGTGTGACTTATCATGCGATTTGCAAGCCCTGTGACTTGCAAATCACATGCCAAGTCGCACCCTATTGTCCACAATTACAGCAGTCATATTGGTGCAGTTCTAACTTCGTTGGAGCCGCACTGATTTCAGAAGTAGTACATGCACTACTTTGGTGCAATTTGCATAGATATCTGTTTTATAATATTTAATCACTTGCCTATTGGGCACTTATATCCCCTTCCTTCCCAGGCCAATTTTCAGCTTTCAGTGCTCTCACGCTTTGAATGACAATTACTCAGTCATGCAACACTGTACCATATAAAATTTTCATCATTTTTGTTTTTACACAAATAGAGCTTTCTTTTGGTGGTATTTAATCACCTCTGGGTTTTTTTTATTTTTTGCACTATAAATGAAAAAAGACCAAAAATTTTGACAAACAAAATGCGCTTTTCTTAGTTTGTTATAAAATTTTGCAAATAAGTAATTTTTCTTCATAAATTTTGACCAAAATTTATACTGCTACATTTCTTCGGTAAAAATAACACAAAATCGATCACTCCAACTGAAATAGAATCCACTATTAAAACACTTCCCCTTAACAAGTCACCAGGAAACGATGGCTATATAAATGAGTACTACAAACAATTTGCCCCTAACCTTTCACCATATCTGACCAAACTCTTTAACCACGCGGCCACCAATGGCACATTCCCCACAGACATGCTACAATCAACAATAACCACAATACCAAAACCTGGCAAAGATCCGCAGTATGTCCAAAATTATAGACCAATTCCCCTACTTAACACAGACGTCAAGCTCTATGCAAAAATTATAGCGCGCAGACTACTCCCCTATCTTCCCACTTTGATACACCAAGACCAAGTAGGATTCATACCAGGCCACCAAACACCTGATGCTACTAGAAGACTCATATCCCTCATCAATCACTTAGAACACACCAAACAACCCTCATTGCTTTTATTGTTGGACGCTGAAAAAGCATTCGACCGCATACACTGGCTATTTTTGCAAATGACCTTACAGAAATTTGGCATCACAGATTGGATCCTAACAGCCATTTTCGCACTATACTCACTCCCCTCAGCCAGAGTATTAACAGACGGAACACAATCAGATCCCTTTGAAATTACCAATGGCACCGGACAAGGCTGCCCTCTATCTCCTGTCATATTCGCATTACTCATTGAGCCCCTAGCATCTAAACTTCGAGACAACCCGATGTTCACTGGCATACGACACCTTAACACTGACCACAAAATTAGCCGATTCGCAGACGACATCATATTGATGATTTCCAACCCAGTCAAATCCCTCCAAACAATATGTACCCATCTCCAGCAATACACAATCGTCTCCTATTATAAAGTAAATGAGCCCAAATCCTCAATTTTAAATCTCCACACACCATATTTCACTCAACTAACCCTTGCTAAACAATTCCCCTTCACCTAGGAAAAAAATACCATCCCATATCTAGGAATCAAACTATCTGCCACAACAGACCAACTATTTAATTCAAACCACAAAAAATTACTTGAAACTATACCCCAAGAAATTGCCAACCTTCGTACCTCAGAACTATCTAAAATAGGCAGAGTAGCGACATTAAAAATGCTCATCCTACCAAAAATTCTTTATATTTTTCGCGCACACACCCTATACCGGTCCCCAATACTTTCTTCTCCAAACTTTACCAGATTCCTATGGAATTCCAAAAAACCTTGATGTACCACCAATCTTTTAATCAGACCACCCTCCAAAGGAGGCGCTAGCCTTCCACATCTCAAATCTTACGATAACGCCACTCTCCTGGACCAAATATATTCTTGGGGGCACCCAACCACAGAAAAATCCTGGTCTACAATGGAAACCTCACCCTTCCTTCCACTTAAATCGCAACATCTACTCTTAACCACAATATTCTCACAAACGACATATCACTTCAAGCACCCATGTATCCAAGCCACTCTTCAAGCCTCGAAAGATCTTTTATCCACAGATTACACAGACTCCAAACAACTCAATACCCCACTCAACATATTACATTCCATTACACCCTCCCTAGATTTAACCCAGTGGGAAAAACGAAACATACATCACATAGCAGATCTTTACAAAAATAACATCCTACATTCATTTCAATATCTTCAAACTAAATTAAACCTCCCTGCCACTGAATACTTCACCTACTTACAAATCATCCACTGCATTCAAACGCACAACATACTCCATACCATAATGATCCTGGATATGGCCTACACCTATTTCTCCAAACCGCAGTACCCAAGTAAAGACATCTCTACCTTTAATATTTAATGGACCTACAATTTTCCTTAAAATCTACCTCCTTATCCAATTGTGAAAAAATCCTAGCAGAAACCATCCCAACCCACACATGGACTACGGCATTTACCTACACTTACAAATCCTCTCACTGCAGCTCACATTGGGAATCCTACTTGAAAATACTTCATCAGTGGTACCTAACCCCTGCCAGACTTGCCATTTTCTACCCAAAACATTCCCCTTCCTGTTGGAGACAGTGCGGGGACGCAGGCTCCACTCTTCACATACTATGGTCTTGCAAATCTATTAAATCCTTTTGGAATAATGTATTCCAACTAATAGCCGAAATTTCCAAAATAATGATAACCCAAAATCCGGCACTTGCACTCTTATACATCGGTATTCACAAATTCCCATATACCTCCTGTACCATCATGGTAAACATCCTTTTTGCAGCTAAACTAAATATAACCCGACTCTGGAATACCACCGCAGCCCCTTCCCTTCAATCGCTAATATCAGATCTTAACTTCCAATGTGAAATGGAAAAGACTGGCCACTTATAACTCCACCCAACATAAGTTTAACTCTTTATGGTCTAACTGGTTACAAAATCCTAATTGCTCCGTAAAAACTGATACTTTACAAACAATCGTACAATCTATCTACGTCAGACTGGTACTCCTTGCCCATCCTTTCACAACTTATCCCCCCCCCTCCCCCAACTACCCCCCCTGTTTAATCCCCCTTACTACTCCTCCTCATGGTTCAGTCCACCCCAAGCATACCTCTGATGCTTATGCCGCAACTCTAGTTCCAACCCCAGCCAAAAGGTGGGGTAATATTCTAATAAAGTTGTATTGTATGCATACAATTTATACTGAAGCAAATGTTTCTGTGAACATTTTTTTTTTTTTTTGAACTTTCAATAAAAATTATTGAAACATAAAAATAACACAAATCATATTATTTGGTCTGTGCGAAAGCTATAGAGTCTACAAGCTATGGTACCAAATCATTGAAAATTTATGACACCTGATGTATCAATGGCCTATCTAACTTCTTGAGGCCCTAAAAAGCCAGGACAGTACAAATACCCCCAAATTACATATTGTAAAGTGCTGAGAAAACTGTTGGCGCTATATAAATCCTGTATAATAATAATAAAATGACCCCTTGTTGGAAAGTAGACATTCCAAAGTATTTAGTAAAAGGCATGGTGAGTTTTTTGAAGTTGTAATTTTTTTCCCTACAATATTTTGGAAAAGATATTTTTTCCCCCCACAAAATTGTCATATTAATACGTTATTTCTCACACACAGCACAGGCATACTTGCAACTACACCCCAAAATACTTTCTGCTACTCCTCTTGAATATGATACCAAATGTGTGAGACTTTTCCACAGCCTGACCACATAGAGAGTCCCAACATGCAAGGAGCACCACCAGGTGTTCTAGGGACATAAAATTACACACCTAGCATCTTGACTACCTATTACACTTCTGTAGGCCTTGAAGCAATTAAATTTCCCACAAAATGACCCCATTTTGACTTCCAATAATTTTTATTAAACAGTTTTTCAAATAACAGTCTACACTTGCCTAAGCTCTCACCTCAACGACAATAACCTCCTCGATCGCCTACACTCCATCGAAACTGCCTTATTTAAACTCTCCAACGACCTTCTAACCGCCAAAGCTAATGGCCACTATTCAGTGCTCCTACTCCTTGACCTCTCTGCGGCCTTCGACACAGTCGACCACCCCCTCCTCCTCCTCAAAAAACTACACTCCTTCGGCCTCAGAGATTCCGCTCTCTCCTGGCTCTCATCCTACCTGTCACAACGCTCTTTCAGCGTTACCTATAACGCTACCACCACCCCCCTCACTCCCCCTCTCTGTTGGGGTCCCTCAAGGCTCTGTCCTCGGGCCCCTTCTCTTCTCCATCTACACCTCCTCCCTTGGCCAACTCATACACTCTCACGGCTTCAACT